ACAGATCTTAAAGTATTTTGACTTTTGATAAACGAACTTGCAAGACTTTCGCTACGGAAGCTGAACAGTCCGACAAGGAAAACGTCAAGATATTTTTCTCCATCTTTTACAGCTAATATCGGTCTCAGCGATGTTGCACACCCTCGAAACATTATGCCTAATGTTGTCAATGGTGATATTGTCAGCTATGTTGAGGGCGATGGCGTTTTTTCCCCTTCTGCGTCTTTGGGTAACCTCAGTGACGACTGCATTTAGGAAGTTTAAGGCTCCAATTTTGTGCTTTTGCGCTGGATTAGCCGGAGACTGAATTATGTATGAAACTGACATAAGGATATCTCCGAATGAGCCAGACAACTTTAGTTTCTCATTTTGTTCCGCTAACTGTTTCTCCAACACCTTTGTTTTAGCTGACATTGGAGATATAAGGTCGACAACACTAACTGAACTCACTGTCATTTGTCCTTTAGACTTATTTACCTGCTCTTGTATCCTAGGCGGCTCGGAATGTGTGCAACAGGGCACAGGTTCCTCGGCACTCGTGACGGCAACGTTATTTATTGTGATTATTCGGTTTTCCACACTCTTTTTCCTCATTGCACGAGTGTTAATGGCAGTCATCTATCGTTGAAATGGGAAGATAAAAGCTGTCTAGTATATGCTATAGCCAAGCGTGAATTCTGGGGTAACAAAGGTCGTTAAGGTCCAGTGATTTACCTATTCGAGTCAACAAACAGGCCACTGTTTCAGAGGCAACCAATGCCACAAACCAACCGGATGTAAGAGTGCTCAGTCGTCCAAATTCCGTCAAGGGTAGATTGTCCTTCATTAATCGACCGCTCCGTGCACAGGTAGCGCTGAGGTCAACTCCGTGGCGTGCCGCGTCACGTCAAGCCGCATGTTCCAACAGGCGCACACGCACAAATCCGGCCAAACAAAGAGATTTGCGTGCGTTCGATAGAACGCGATTCACAATGCGGCGTGAGGGCTCTTGGTCAACCAAGGCAGTGGACGAAGATGCAATTGTTTCTAGCCGCTTTATGCAGCTAACGACAGGGTTGGTTTAGGTCTCCTGAAGTAGACCTAGCAATAACCTTTCCGATAACTCCAAAAACCTTGGTGAAGGTAGAAAAGTAGTGTACTCGTAAGAGAACGACAGCGCTGAAACAGCCAGAATTGAAAATCGGCGTTAGACCTTAAGCAGTTACTACAGTAGCCTAGTAGCCTTGAGAAAGTTTGCGCAATGGGTGGGCCTGATTGAATGAGTGTACCCAGGCCGATGTGCAAAAAAATTTAAATCCGAAAACTTAAAAAGTCAGGAGCAACGAAGAAATTCCGACCAGCACGGCACGTCACCTCACAGTGCTGCTAAGCGGACGTATGTGGCTTTTATCGGGAGAACGCTTGCCAGACGCAGACCCATCACGCCCAGGAACCTTGCCACTAGACCTTTTACTGGGACGGATAATCTACATTCACCCAGCCGCCTGCACGAGGAGGTTGTTCGGCTAGCTAGCATACGCAAAACGTTTTGTGTCTAACCTGAAACACAACGTTTAGCACAATTTAAATCGGTCAGATCAATGGTTAGTTTGGTGTCAAGGTGGGTACAGCCAACAGGAAGCAACACAACTCGGCTTGCGCTTATGCCACAGCCTCGCATCGAGTTTACCAAACCGATGCATATTAAGATACTATTGGAGTATTTGCGTCAAAGTGTGCGGGTCAGAAATCTCAAACGGCTGTCCTCCTTTTCTTCATGAACATCTGCATTTGGCTTCTGGCATATCAATGCAGTTAGGGTCGACATCTCAAAGCTGAATGAAAAAGCACTAAATACCTAAATTATGAACTGCGGCGCAATGAGATAAATTCATTCAATGACAACGCAAGTGTTGCATCTAGTCAGTAGGGAGCAGTTTCTGCGAAATTCGCAGACAGAAATGGACGGCCACCGCACATCCCGAAAAGTGTCGGAGAACCGTGTAGTCCTCGCTGGACTCATCGGCAGCGTACATCCGCCGGATCCTGTTGCACCCGAATCTTTGACATCACTCTTACGAGCCACTGACAAGTCATTGAATCGTGGGTGATGGATACGAACCACAGAGTATTAGATGCGAAATAGCGTAGACCACCAACTAATTTAGAAATTTTTACTACTGTATAAAAATTAATCACCTGATCAACCTAGTTACGATCATGAAGCATTACGACTTCCTATGCGAGTCGTAACCGTGGGTGCCAACCTGCACTCCGCACGTTCATACAATCAGTCATAGTGAGCAAGTAAGCCTGCTGCTGTGTGGCTATCAGCCAGTCACGGTGACTAACCGCCGCTACCCATGGCTCTGTGGCTTAATTTATCGTCTTGCAGGAGTGAAGTCATAGGTTCGGGTTTGGCAAACTGGTGGATGTCCACCGCTTGCATGTTCCATTGATATAATAAGTAATTCACCACAACGAAACCCATTCGGACAGCCAGCACACGTCTGACCGTTTCACCCTTCGGTAAATGAAAAATGAATAGTGAACAATGATTTAACAAGAGTAAAAATGCAAGTGCTTGATAAGTCCTGTACGATGGTTGGAATAAACATTAAAATTTAATAGATCATCTGATAGGTAAATCGTTAGCTTAATCATCTACCGATTTAAATGCACTGCCGCATAAAGATAGTTGGAAGTGGGAATGGGATGTACACACACAAGATAGTATAAAGCGCCGTTCTAGTTTGGTAAATGTGTGAGAAAGAAAAAAGGAAACGACAACACGCACTCGTTTGTTTCTTCATTTGACAGGTGTGGTATGTTAATCCATTTTAGATATATCCAGGATACTCACATGGACACTACTGCATGTGTCCTCACCAGCACGTTGCGGAGAGGGCCGTTAAGCACATGGTTAGGTTAGCGTTGTTTCGTCCTCCAAGTGGAACGGACTGCATCAAGTTATGCAAGTTTGAAAGCGTTTCATCAAGACGTATTTTGAAATGCGTCAATGTTGGGGCAAGGATAACGTGAGTCGGAAGGGCAAACAAAGCAATGGACACACGGAGGGAGAAAACGTTTCGTCGACAATCAACTCGACTGTAGTGCGTAGCCAGTTTGAACTCATGGCCTCTCAGGTTGGTAGTTTGGCTCAGCTGCAACAGACTCAGACATGGGTGAGTCGTGTTTGTCAGTATTAAGTAAACCATGATTAAGTCTGCTCGCTGACGTCGATATGCATCACTGTACCATCTCAGAGATTGCAGTCTGCGTTGGTAGGAGAGATGAAACAATTTATCTAAAGAGTTTGGTCGCTCTACGTTGTGGAGCTTTAATTACATCAACGTTGCGCTTGCGCCAGGGACGCCATGCCTGGATCGCATATTCCACATGAGGCCTCACGTAGGTGTTCAGCGTTTGCGGTAAGCTTGATGGCTCAAAATTCCTGAAAGCTGTTCGTAAGAGTCCAAGTCGTTGACTGGCTCCTTTTGATACCTTTTCAACCTGTCTCGAGCAGCTAAGATCGTACTGCACGATCACGCCGAGTCACATTGTAGCCGACTTCTGTGGAGCTTGAACCCACAACTCGGCTGTCACCGGCCTGTCGTTAAGACCACTGAGCTATAAGGGACGGTAACGACCGAAGTGACTGTGTTTCCAGACGTGATGTTGTATGGTACACTATCCACTGACTCGCAAGTTTCTGCCTTGCAGAGGACAGTGTAACTCCACGGTAGTGGCGTGTAAGTCGGTTAATAGTGTACCATACTACATCACGTATAGTAACTCAGCCATGTCGGTCGTTACAGTCCGCCATAGGAAAGTGGTTTGAAACATATGCTGGTAAGATTCGACTGGTGAGTATTTTTGTTCATCGCAATCAGCCGACAATTCAGATATGTCGACCAGCTGTCCGGAAAAGCACCAGACGGCCGTTTCGCCCTATTGGGGCTCATCAGTGGTGCGCATTCTTCGGTCCTCTGCGGAGGATCGAATCCATGACTGCTAGTGGCTCTTGCCAACTAGCCCGCAGCTTATGCAACTGCGCCATAGAAGACGGTATCTAACTATCGTGAATTGTTAGCTAAATGCACAATGCGAATGTGTGCTAAAATATTTGAGTACCATTTTATGCAAACTAGCTCACCAGGCTAGTGTTTTCAGCCTGAAGGGTTAACCCTTTGAGTCCTGAATTAATTTACCTGTAGCTCGACATGAACCTCAAAATTTTACTCCACACACTGTAGAGCAAAGTATCAGGGTTGTGTCCATTACTGAATCGCTTACTGAAGGCTAGTGTACGAATCCTGGCGGTTACCGGCAGGAATAACGCTTGCACTGAAGCAGTATTACACTTAAAACAAAGTGGTACTTATAAGTACCGCCAGGACAAGAAGGGTTAACCCCGACCACCTAGGTAACAAACTAGACATTGGGAGCCTACAATAAGCATACATTGGAAGAAGCAGTTTACGCGCTAAACGAGAAAAGTGTACTTATGAGAACCAGCAAGCAAGTAGTCTGGCTTCTACAACATCGGGAAGCGCGACGCACACCGCTGGTTACTAAGGAACAGATTTGTGTTAACTAAATTAAGAGTGCATCACAGTAGATTTCATGTCAGTTGGCTTAAGAGGCTTCCAGAAAAGCACAAAACGGCTATTTCATCGCAGTGTGACTCGTCATTGGCACGCATCCTGGGCTCTAGCAGGAACCGACTTTGTAACCTCTCGACACAGTCACTTGCACCACTAGTCAATAGCTTGTGCTACTAGATCACGTGTGAGGCGGAAGCTTGCCATAAATGTAGTTTGGTGCTTTTCCGGATGTGTGGTATACTACTTACTCGGAAGCTACTGAGATAGACTCTCAATACGCATACCGCTAGGTTGGAACTTGAATGGAAATGGTCAACCCCTTCCTTTTCTTGGCGTACTTGATGCAGAGGAAGTGGAAATCATTACTAGACGAAAACTTGTCAACTGCTATCTTTTTTCTTTAATGTGTTTAAGGGAAGGAACCACTTATTGTCAAGCTGGATCGGCTGCATTCCATCATCACTTCAAAGCAATACGATTATCTCGATCAACGCAATCAGCAATTCGAAGTTGATTATGAAGACTTTAAGAACCGAATAGCGGATCTTCATGTAAGTTAGCCCGGATGCCATTCATCAGTAAGTTCTGTCCAAGCAGTTAATTAAAATTTCTGTAAGTAAACGAGTATCCCAATACTCTGTGCAGCACGCTACCAACAGACTGGGTGAACTTCTATGGTCCACTTTTCAGGGAGGCTGATGGCATTTCTGTATCTGGATAGAAGATGGCACAGAAATTTCTATATCTTTTCTTAGCATATGCGTACATATGTAGGAGATTACTGCAAGTTAAACAAGTTGTTAGCAACTGACACAGCATGTATGGGATGTGACTTACTCTGCAGTTGAATTGCCCCTAAAAAGACAGCAACGATTGTATGGCTTTGTAGATGTGTCGGAGTTATCTTATAACACAGTACATCTTTTATCACACACACACTTCACAGTAAAGTGAACAGTGTGCTATAACTTTTAGCAGTATACTCAGTTGTGTCCCATGCACTGTTTGATGGGGATTCTGAATCATATTCGGCCCTATCACAACGGGAGGCAAGATCGGACACCTTGTGTTTCGCAAACATGGTACATAAACAATGACTTCTAAGTTGTCGCTGAATTTAACTTGTAGACATCCCGGGACACACTTCATTTAACCGAGTACTGTTTATATGCCAAACGGGACAGACTGGTTTCAGAGTAAATCAGGGTCCAAAGTGAGAGAGCATGAGGTAATCCAATCACAGAGTTCGTTCCAGTCAGAAGTCACCGAGAGTGAACAACCGCCGGTATCGTTAGCACAAGTTGGGTGTCCAAAATATTTTTACTCAGGAGTCAATACGTCGGGCATACTTCCACAAGCCAACTATAATATTGTACCGACCGATAACGAAATCGCACACCTTACAAGTTTGTTTTTGCATCAAGGTAGCGAACTAAACATGCAGAGCTTTTGGCTACAGCACTTCATTAAATCTAAGGTAAAAAACCTAAATATGCAAGGAAAACGAAAAATTAAGACTCCTAGTGCGTGTTTACTACCTTAAGTAAATGAATTGGCCATAAACCTCATAATCATTGGAGTCAAATTAATCCGTTCAGTATATTCATAAATCTTAAATGAAATTGGGATAAAGTTGCCAACTTTTCTTTTTTCACAGGCCAACCTACTCACCATCATCGCGGCATATTTTCGTAAACCGTCAGGCTTGCTTTCTAAAATTAAATTACAAGAACGGTTAGAAACCCTCAAGATACCAGAACTGAATCATAAAGAGCGTTATGAAATTATATGCAAAGGGTTGAAAGATGAGCTGATAAACGCAGCTCGCTTGTTCAAAAATGGCGTTGCTGATCCTCCTTTGGACAGAAACATGCCTCCATTCGCCGGTGAGTTTCATGAGGACAATTGTAGAACCCGATCCTTAGCCTTTTACTCACAACATTTAGAAGTTGACTAACAACAGTAGCTGCAAACCAGACGTGTAAGTCTCTATAACACGAAAATCGATGTGTGCAGTCGACTAGATCTGGCAGTAAACTTCATACTATAAGAAGTACTGGAAGTGTATAATGGAAATTGTAAGTAATATCAAGGTTGTGAATTGAAATAGATGGTAAAATGGGAGTCACACTAAAATAGTGTAGGGGTGGTATGCAAAGAAGCAGCTCATGTCACTTCAGATTCCTATCAGTTTCAGGGTAAAGATTGCTAGTACCCCAGAGGTATTGTCTTCGTGAACAGAGTGGTCACTTGTACTGTGAATACGTTCAAACAACAAACAATGGTTTACCACAGGTTAAAAAGCAAGTACTTAACGAATCCACTAGGATGGCGGGAGTAACAACTATAATATCAAAGGCTATATGAATTATATCCCGAACGTCCATCGAGATAATGCGTGGATACATAACTTGAGTGCAACATAATAAGCTGATGCAAGCATGCAGAACAACACGGAGTGCAGTAATCGTTGATGTAAATCGCGGGAAAAATAAAATATGACCCCTCACTCATGTGCCACATTAAGCCGGTAGAAGCGCACGTAGAAATTGATCCACGGTAGCGCAGCTTAGGTAATGAAGTACTGAGAGCTAAGAGAAACATACAATCACCTTTTGTAGAGGTGCAAACTAGAGGAGAATACGGCTAATTTTGGAAGATTCCCAGGGTTGGCAAACCCGAAGAGGGAAGTGTTTTCGTTGACACTCACACAGTTTCAGGCTGTTACCTCTGAGCTTGGTGTTGTGGCCAAGTTTAGCAAATGGCGTCATACGTGGTTTGGGTCACCCAATATTTAGTACACTAATATGAGATGGCTGCGTTACCTTCGGTAGCGTCCACTGAAGGCTCCCAGCAACTGCACTCTTGGCTGGTAAGAGCGATCGCACAGGTCCTTAGCATTATTTGTTGCCCTGCGTTGTTTTATCTGCAGCATCTCTAGATTGCGCTTCAACCGTGGGTGTATTTTGCGTGATAGCGCGTGTAGGAATTGTACATCATTGGGGAAGCTTGGTGGGTCAAACCTCCGAAATGCCGTTCGTAGCAGACCGACAAGCTGTTGCCTCTTTTTGCAGCGGCCTTGGACTATTTTGAACAGTTGTGGTCCCTCTGTCCAAACCAACCAAGGTCACTTTTCTGTGAGCCGGTTCGTTGTCTATGTGCCCCGAGCTAACACCAGTCATGTCTATGGCGCAGTTAAACAACTCGACATTTTCAACATTAAATGGTAGGGTATTCTGAACTGACCAATTCGCAATCTTGTCAAGATTGCACTGGAGCCGTTGGTGGTCGTTCGGTCCTCTGTTCGTTCATCCTATGTTGATATCATCTGTGAAAAAATAGAAAATTGTGAAGCAACTAATCTCGCTAGATCGTTTATGAACACCAAAAAGAAACAAGGCCTCAGCACCGAACCTTACGCTACAGTGCACTCCACCTTCATTGCATCGGACAGTGGTTCATTGACTCTCACCTACAACAAATGTGTGTAGAAAATTGCTTATCTAACTCATGATTGGGTCCCTAGTGTCTTAGTTCTGAAGTTTATGAGGTGGAATTCGGTGGTCTAAGCGGTCAAACGCTTTTGAGTAGTCCAGACAGATGACATCGACTCCTGCTCCACCAACAATTAATTCAGTCTAGCTATTGCGGACAATTAATAGATTAGCAGTTTTAGCAGTTTTTTAGCGAAAAGCCATGTTGCTCCTAGGTTATCAAGCTGTGGTTTTCCAGATAATGACTCAGCCCATCTGCAATGCTTGATTCTGCAACTTTGAAAAGTACGGGAAACAGTGTTCTCAGACTTTAATTGGCATGATCAGTGCGACTATCACCTTTATGAATAGGAGTGATAAACCCTCTTCTCCATATTGGTGGAATTTGGTTCTCCTCTAGACAGCGCTGATAGAAAATAGCAAGTGGCTTTGAAAAATCGATAGCTACTACTTGCAGAGCATTCGATCGAATGTTATCGACTCCAGAAAAACTTTGGATAGACATAAACAACAACTTCTGTAACAGATTCCGCAGTGGAAGTGCTTTCACATAAACCTGACTGTGGAGTACTATAGACCAGTAGGATATTAGCTCGTTACCCCTTGAAACGTAAGGGAGTAATAGAATCCTAAGCCATCGGCAGTTTCCGTTGCGCACATTAAAGTCCTCAATGAGAACTTGACTGTACAATTGTTCAAGGAAACCTATAAATTGTAGTTCAGTTTGGAATCCATTTACGACGTAGAGTTTTGCAAGCCGTAAATCACGGTTACAAGACATGTGTTCTTGTTCCACAACCATAGCCGGCACCAAAACGAAGCACCGGCGCGGATTTTGTGATCATGGTTTGCATTATAAGAAAATATTACACCACCACCCCTTCCAGCTATGTCGTTCCGAAGTAGCGACATACCCCATACATCGATCTCAGAATCCGTTATATCAAGATTCAACCAGGTATCTGTAATAATTATGTGGTGCCGCGCTTGCGAGACGGGGCTTTCTCTAAGACCGACCTAGTTACTAAGACGACCTTGGTTGTTATAGTACAAACAGTTTAGTGTTTTAGCTCTTACGAGTGCGTTGTGTCAAGTTCGGGTTTGGTTCCGAGCCGACCTCCTCCAAACGCTTTTTGTTGGTCTTCGGTTTATGATATTGAGTCAGGCTGCATAGCCACACAGTGTTCCAGATCAGGATGTTCGCTTGTGCTTTGCTCTGTCCTGTCCTGTGCCGTGGATGCTGCTGTGTCGAGCTATCCGCGGTACTGTAGGAACTAAGGATTTACTGCGATTTAAGTTCTGTCGAATTTCTGACCACTCTTGGCCGTGCGGCTGCTGCCTATAGTCTAGGGATGTCCAAAGTCCGCCCTGCAGGCCAAATGCGGCGGGCGACAGACGTTCACCTTGCCCGCGGCCACATCATGAAATAGTAAATTAAAGCTTGGATTATTCCGTGTAGGCGATATTATATAGATTACAAAATATTAAAGATATTATGAGAAAAATTTCCATCTCCTCAGATGTTAGCAAAAAGCAATGGTGTACCGCTTATTTTTTCTGACTAGGAAAAATCAGTCTACTGCCTCTACTAAAGCAGTCTTAACTAAATCCAAAAACAAGGCTGTCAAGTTCACAGTTTCACCCTTCACATTAAAAACTTACAGTAAAAATTTTTATGACATCTGTAAGTTCTGTTATTATCTTAAGATCAGACTGAATATGGCTCGACATATTTTTGCCTCACAAAATGTAGCCCTCCTTGAGAAAAGTTTGCACACCTCTGCTTTAGTCGGATCTCGGTTGGGAACTTGGCGCGAAGCTCCAACCAACTATCCAATAGGGCTTGTGTCATTCCTTCTGAGTGCAGCATTAGTTTCATCGGTCTTGAACCGCAGCCCTTGTAGTTAGTTGACGAAGGAAATCCTAGCAACAGTCTAGTGATAACATTGTCCAGATAGTATGCTTTACGGATGTATCACCAATGCTTTCGGTCATGTGCCCACGCTTTGTAGTCAGTCGAATCCGGAAGCTTGGGAAAACCACAAACCAATATAATTCACTTGCTATCGATTTTAAGAGGACCGCCTTGGTTATCCACTTCCTTTGTGCTATCTTTCCAAGAAAGATTTAGGTAATATGCGCACTCTGTTGGACGAGTTGCCAAGACGAACTGTTGCGGGTAGGGCAACCGTTGTATCCTCTGTTGAGTTCAGGGTTATTCAAAGAATTCAAAGTTAACCATGGTGCACTGAGGTCGGGTGACGCGCTATTCGTCTACGCATAGTGAAATCAACCTGAATACCAGTAGCGTTGCAGATGGAATTCCACTGGTGTCGGTTATCAAACAACTAGCTTTTACTTGTGCGACATTTGAACTCTGGAACTTTAGTGCACATGAGAATTAGCACACTGCAACTGTGCCAATTTCAGAGTCGTCGCTGGTGATTTTAAATTGTTCAGGCGGTTCCACTACAGTAGATGGTGAAAGCTGTGTCATACCACCTGTGCTCAGTACAGAGGATGGATCTACGTTTGTTGCATCCGGTATGTTTACCGAGGCGACGGATTGGTACGTTACTGGTTTTTTATCAGTGCTGGATTGCCTCCGGAATTTTGCTTTACCGTGCTGGATTCTACTTTTGCTTTGGAAATAATGTTATGCGTCTTTTCTCTGTGTGAATTGTGCACCAATAGGTTGCTTTTGGTGAATGTTGCCATCTATGCGAATTTGGTGGATATTCTCCGGCTACTATCGGAGAGTTCACTGATTGGCCACACTGCCGTCTGTGTCCGCCACCTTGAATTTGTTATACTGCAGTCTAACCGGTGTATGCCAGACCACCAGCGTGACCGACAGCGTGTGGATTCAGCGTACCAGCGTAGACGTTGCAACCAACGACTCCCGCAGATCTGACAGTCATAATGACACGTACTGCTTGCCCACGGAAAGCTAGGCCCAAAACTTCCGAAATGAACGTTATTTGTGGTGTAGACAGCTGTGTTAAAATTCTGCGATTTGGAATAGAATGCAGAAACTGACGAAAATACTTCCATTCTCGATGTGCTCGCCTTAGTCTCAGCCAGATAAAAAAACGTAATTGTACCACCGATCCTCTCTGATTCTGCTCTGCGTGTCCGTCTCTTCCACTCGTCAGATGTATAACTGTGTTAACGCAAAATTGCGATAGGCGGAAAAGATTGTAGAGCAGGCAGCAGCCGTGAAAGTTGTCCCCCATGAACCAGAAAAATCAGTGTCTAGAACTTGATGCTGAACATCAAGCTTCAGTTCGGCACAGTGCAAGAGTAACGATCCAGAGTTAGCCACCCCGACACTAGCAGCTGCTCAGAAACATGCGTTCGCCATACATTCCCAACAGAAGCACCCGCCACACTGCACACTGTTAAAGGGCCAACAACCTACGCGTCCATTTTTGCTACCCATTTGATGCACGCATCTCGCAAGGTAACCCCGCCCGCTGCCAAACGAGTTACTATTACCAATACCACCACGGGACTCAAGACCTCATCATTTGTCCAACCAAAGAAACCACCCACTCGTCCCTCCAAAAAGAAGAACATGAAACCCTACTATACTTCTCTGACTGTTATATGCTCTAATGTGACTGAATCCGTGGCGAACTCCATAAAAGATAAGATACTAGATGACAAAAAACAGTGGGACTCTCTGTGCCAACTCACAGGGGTTCAAGCTAAACCAGTCAGTATGATGCGTCTCGTCCGTCACTAAAACTCCATACATTACGGTGCATCACGGTTACTCCAGGAAACACTTCAGTCAGGTAATGATGTAGGGGAAGTTCTCTTGTCAGCTACCCGCTTCCGTATCACCACATACACTGTCCGAACATTTCCAGATGCCCCTTGGAGCGAAAGCCAGAAACGCAAACAAATCCGGATGACTTCCGTAAACAACAAAACGAACAATTTATCCTTGTTCAAGGTGTTCCCGAGCTCCAGACACTAAGCTAGCTAGAGACCAAAGCGCATGATTTGGATGAATGGCGGTTTATTCGTGAAGTGCTCTCACTTAAAAATATTATCGCTAATTCGACATCAAGTATACCGCTATCACCTAACTACAATGGGTGTGGTTCCCGAGTGATGAAAGTATTATTGCACTCCAAACTCATGTCAGAACATGTGATCAAAATGCGGCAATAAACCGTAAAATGCTGCCATCCGAAATAGGTATAAAGGCGATAGGCACTGGGCCACAGATAGACAATGTAACACTGAGCAAGCAAATTACCAATACAATTCTGTCACCGTGTAGTTCAGAACGGAGACAATGCCAAAACACACCGGTATCTGAAAGAGTACAGGATGGTCACCCTCTTGTTAGCACTGAGAGCTCTATACGACAACCTCAACTGGCCCCAGGGCCTCCGTCATCGGTCCTACAAAATTTCGACCGGCAGCCCACCACGCAAGTGTCGGCATAGACCCTCACCGAAAACCAGCATGCACAAACACACTTCTGACCACCAACGCCCTCACCTCATTGTACACCAACGCACAAGGTCTTCTCAGCAAAATGTCCAACTTCGTATTCGTCAAGTTTTCACGACTTGGGACCTGGTAATGGTCACCGAAACATGGCTGAACACGGAGATCACGGATGCTGAGATTACACTACCCGGCATGACTTCCACACGAAACGATCGACCTAGAAGAGGAGGAGGAGTGCTCCTGCATTATCGATCAGACCTGCATCTTGATATCATTGAGATGCAGAAACGAAAGTCGTCCATTCTTTTTGGTGTCATATACAACTAAGACGTGGTGATGTGTGTTTACTAACAATAGTTTACCGCCC